CTGGAGAAGTGTATACATCACCGGGGGGTGTGGGGGTAAGGAATACCCCCCAGACAAATTAAACATTGATGGCTCTTCCTCGAGAATAACGACAACAGGTATTGATGACCGTTATTGTTTGGGTGGGGATGATCACCGGGGAACTATCAAAGTTTCTCTCGCTGGGGGGTATTCCATACCCCCCAGACCCCCCGGTGGTGCGATCCTGTTTGAAAACGTACAGAAACAACAATGTTTGTCGTGCTCAGGAGCTTCCATGGTTTTTCCTAAGAAATAATCACGAACACTAAAGACTCTGAATCAATGGAGAAGTGTATACATCACCGGGGGTGTGAGGGATATGGAATACCCCCCAGGCAAAAGAAACATTGATGACTATTCTTCGAAACGAATGACAACAAGTATTAAGGACCGCCACTGTTTGGGTGGGGATAATCACCGGGGAACTGTCAAAGTCCCTTTCCCTGGGGGGTATTCCATACCCCCAGACCCCCCGGTGGTGCGATCTCGTTTCAAATCGTTCAGAAACAACAATGTTTGTGGTGATCAGGAGTTTCGGTGGTTTTGTCTAAGAAATGATCACATATACTAAGGTCTCTAAATAACTGGAGGAGTGTATACATCACCGGAAGGTCTGGGAGGGTGGGGGGTGGGTATGGAATACCGCCCAAGCAAAAGAAATTTCGCTGGCTCTTCCTCGAGAATGATGATGACAAATATTGAGGACCGTCACTGGGCGAGGATTATCACCGGGGAGCTACCAAAGCTTCCTTTTCTGGTGATGAAGTTTTTGAAGCTTTCAGCACTCAGTCTCAGTCTTTTCCAGCAATTTTTTTGTACAAATTTAAAATTACTAAAAAAACTTTTCACGACTGTAATTACTTAAATTCGTGCGTATACCGGGGACGTTCGGAAAGTTTGAGCAAAAAAGTGTATTAGTAGAGTATGCGCCTTTTTTTTCAGTCGCGAGGTTCTCGTTTGTACCAACGGTTTTATGTCGACACTTTAAATTTATCGACGGTATAAATTCGAATTGCAGCTTTTCCTAGAGAACTTCCGTATGCAAGGAATGCAACGCGACTGGAAGAGTCGGTTTACACATGTAGGTATCTCGTATAGAAAATTATGACATCATTTATTTAAATGCAGTTCGACTTCCACATTAATTTTCAACGGGTATGTTAAAATGTTGGTTTATGCCCGATTAGTGCATCAATTTGTAGCGGTGTTTTCTTTACTTTTATGCACTTCTCTTCTGCAGAACGCGACCGAAACCCGTTTTCGACTTTTTTAAAAACGATAGTGACACATTTTTACGTTTGCCATTTGCATAAAAATGCGCCGTTATCCACTTTCAGTCAGACCTACTTCCATTCAAAAAACGTCCCGTTTAAAGTGTCACCTGTCAAAAATGTCATTAATGATAAAGCGCGTGCTTTATATCCTATTAAAGTCGTACGATGTTTTATTGCATCGTTCAACTGAATCTCATTCAATTGTACTCTTTAATGGGCCTGAACGTTAAAATAAAAAACTCTTAATTGTTCCTTTAGTGGAGAAAACGGCTCGCGCATACAAAAATCCCGATTCCTAACGAAACTGGTGCTAAAAATGAAAGCTGTCTAAATTGTACGATGATCTGGTTTAATTAAGCGAAAAGCAACTGTTGCTAACGATTTGATTGCAGAATGCGAAATAATTACGGGGAAAATTATTTAATTATAACAATTACTTTAACTTTCCTAACGCGAATTATTAATTACCGCTTGAAACATTTTGAATTTCCCGCCGTCAATAAACGTTGGCAAAAATGGTGCCATCGACGTTTAAACCATCTGGTTTAATTGTAATTTAACTAATTAAAGGCATTTTCTGCAATTACGCTTGTACTGAAAAAATGGTGGGAAAGCTATTCGCGCGGTGATCCGCTACTAATTTTATTTGCGAAACGAACAATAGTCGCTAATTGTTATTATTAATCGGTATTTTAAACGGCGTCGCAAATTACTTCACTCTATATCGCTGTTAGATCAATTGTGCGAAAAGAATGCCCGCACCGAATTTTTCTGGAAATTATGCGCGTGTCCGTTAAATTACAGAGGTATTAATTATCGCTAATTAATTTAGCATATCCATTAAGAAAAGTCTCTCAATCGGATTAGTTTCCTCGTAAAAGACGGTTGAGGAACTGCATGCGCATAAACAGTATAACAGTACCCAATTCAATTCGATCATTCGCAATTGATTAATCGTTCTCATTCAAGTCGGAATCGATAAATTTTAATGCCAGAGTGGCATCAGAGCAGCGATTAAATTTAAAATCTATAAAAAGGCCCGTCAATTTCCGTCGTTGCTAATTAAAAATTGGGCTAAGTTTGTGGGGAACATAGCCCAATGGCCTCCCTAGAAAATCCTATGGGTATAGAATACCCCCCATCAAAACAGAATTCAATTACCCTTCTTTGAAAGTGATGACAAGGCTGCTGAACCGTGGAATAATTTTAGAGAGAGTTTTCGACCTCACCCGGTGCCCACTTCGTTTCCAAAATGAACCCTCAGAGCTCTCCTGGCCATTTTCGAGGGTGGATAATCGAATTCATATACACTCCAGACCCACCGCTGCTACGTGTTTCCTCAAAAACTAACACGAGAGTTATGGGGATAAAACGTCGTGGGAGAGAACGTAGCATCGGGAGTCTGGGGGGTATGGAATACCCCCCAGGAAATAAATATTCAACCACCCTCCCTACAATCACCATTATTACCATGAGACCATTCATATAAGTATACAGTCTTCGTATGCCCCCCAGAGCTACGTTACTGTGGTGTTTTACCGAAAACAGTATTAAAAGTACTGAGACAGACGGTTTTGGTGGAAAATGCAACACCGGGGGGTCTGGGGGGTATGGAATACCCCCCAAGAAATAAACATTCAATGACCCTCCCTACAATCACCATTATTACCATGAGACCATTTATATAAGTACAGTCTTCTTATGCTGGGGGGTATTCCATACCCCCTAGCCCCCCCCCCTCCCGGTGCTACGTTCTGTGGTGGTTTACCGAAAACAGTATCCAAGTGCTGAGGCAGACGGTTTTAGTGGAAAATGCAACACCGGGGGGTCTGGGGGGTATGGAATACCCCCCAGGAAACCATGAGACCATTCATATAAGTACAGTATTCGTATGATGGGGGGTATTCCATACTCCCCAGACCCCCCCGGTGCTACGTTACTGTGGTGTTTTACCGAAAACAGTATTAAAAGTACTAAGGCAGATGGTTTTGGTGGAAAATGCAACACCGGGGGGTCTGGGGGGTATGGAATACCCCCAAGAAATAAACATTCAATGACCCTCCCTACAATCACCATGAGACCATTCATATAAGTACAGTATTCGTATGATGGGGGGTATTCCATACTCCCCAGACCCCCCCGGTGCTACGTTACTGTGGTGTTTTACCGAAAACAGTATTAAAAGTACTAAGGCAGATGGTTTTGGTGGAAAATGCAACACCGGGGGGTCTGGGGGGTATGGAATACCCCCAAGAAATAAACATTCAATGACCCTCCCTACAATCACCATGAGACCATTCATATAAGTACAGTATTCGTATGCTGGGGGGTATTCCATCCCCCCCAGACCCCCCGGTGGTACGGTCTGTGGTGGTTTATCGGAAATAGTATCCAAAGTGCTGAGGCAGACGGTCTTGGTGGAAAATGCAATACCCCTCCTCCCCTCCAGTAATAAATACCCCCAGCATATGAAGACTCTATTTATACATGGTCTCAAGATTTAGGGAAGCTCATTGAACGTTTCTTCACTGGGAAAACTAACACAAGAGTTTTGTGAAGAGAACGTTGTATCGGGGGGGGGGGGGGGGGTCTGGAATACCTCAGAAGAAAAAAATTTAATTATCCTTCTTCGATGACGAGCCTTCTGAAGAATTTTAGAGCAAACGTCCAGAACCTGGAGGTCTGAGGCTATTGCTCAGCCAGTGCTCACTTCGCTTCCAAAATAAGCCCTAAGAGCTCTCCTGAGGAAAAGTAATCCGAACTGTTGCTTCATGGGGAGTATTCCCCAACTCCCCCAGAATCCTCGGTGCTGTTTTCTCACAAAATTATTACAGCCTTCAACACTCGCCGCTTGTGAGGAACGCCTTCCGATGAAGGGCCATCGATTCCTCTTTCTAAGGGTGTAATACATACGTAGCATACAAGTTCTGGGGGTATGGCCCTTAGCAAGAACTTGGATTATCTTGTTTCATTTTGAAAGAGAACGCGACCACTTTCAAGGTGGGGTAATCAAATTCCTCTTTCCTCAAGGGCATTCGATACTTAGCACCGGGGACCTATGCGACAGAATTGTTTGCACCTATTTTAAAAAGGAGTTTTTTTCCTGGTTCCAGTAGACAATTGGCTGCTTAATTTCAATAATTGCAGATAAACTTATATACATGGTGTTTCGAATGTATCCTTATAAGGTACATTTTGAGGCATTGTGTATCTATCGTTCTGTTGTAGGTAAATGAACTGTTTAATGGAATTATGTATAAACAAAAGCCAATTTCGACAAAATCCAGCTCGAACGTTTTTCATATGTTATTAATGATTATCTTCTTTTTTTCCCCGATACCATACTCATATTCAATTTAAAAGTAAGTGAACCAAAACCGTAATTTGCATGCTTTTATGATGGATAAATTCCACACGGCTTTGTACGTACAGTAAAAAGCAGTTATATCTTATACGTTCCATCTAAAACTGCCCCTAAGCCATCAACGGTAAAGTCGAGTAAAGGGTACGCGAACAGAAGCTAAGGGCGGCGTTCCGCCTTGCAGTTTAATTAAAGTGCAGTGCCCAGTGAATCACACGGCATCGCCTCGACGGTGGCAAAGAGTCCATCACCCATCATCGAAGGCCACGGCCACTACTTCCACTTCTTTAACAGTAAGCGCAAAACGTGGTCATCTTCAGTATATTACAGGCCGTCAAATCGCGGTGAACGCGTTCGATTTTTTTGACGCGCGCGATACACGCGGAGAAAATTTGAGAGACGCTCGCGCCGTCCTCATTCGCGAGGAAGAAGAAAGTCGACAACTCGTTTCGTAAAATGAAAAATCGCCGCGCGAGTGACGGTAAATATATAAATAAAACCGAAGAGGATGCGTATGAATTATTATTATCATAGAAAATAAAGCCTGCTTTGAACTCGTTTTATATGTAGGTTTATGACCGAATAATACTCAATTAATGACTAAATAAGGTTTTCAAACAAGTTGTCGCAATTTATGTACGTATTCGGAGGAAAATCGCTCGGCGCGAGCCAAATTTCCTGATTGCTCCCGGGGCGGCGATTATGAAGAAGTGGACGGCGAGGCCGTAACGAGAGACGGGTCGCGTGTGACAAAAAATGCCGACTCGTTACACATTTCTCAAACAGATCGATTACTTACCTATGCCGAACGAGGGTTCATCCGACTCCTGCAGCTCACCAAGTCCGGACTACACCCTCACGACCCTCCAGCCGGGAACGTCGCAGACCTACGCGAACGCGGAGTGGGTCCACTACGGCGAAAACAACAACCTATACGCCTACCCTCATCATCAGCCGCCACCCCCAGGCAACATGAACTACGGCCAGGACTGCTACAAGTCCGCCTACGACAACCGCTACAAACGGGACAAGGGCGGCGTCCCCCAGGCCGGCATGGACGTCATGAAGAAGCGACGGCTCGCGGCGAACGCGCGCGAGCGACGCCGCATGAACAGCCTAAACGACGCGTTCGATCGGCTCAGGGACGTCGTCCCGTCGCTCGGCAACGATCGAAAGCTCTCCAAATTCGAAACCCTCCAAATGGCACAAACTTACATCTCCGCCCTACGCGAACTCCTCCAAAGGGACTAGCTCAGCCCCGCGCTCCAAGTGTACCTTCCCTAGTTGAATAAGTGCAATAATGTCGTGCAATATTTTTTTTTTTGTAAAAAGAAGTGATATTTAGTTAGTGATATTGGCTTTGTTTTACGTGGTAAAGGATACAGTATTAAGAGGTTCATCCTTCGTGCAATATTTAAACATAATTATTTATTTTGTTCCTAATGTTGAACACTTCCAGTATCTCTCTTTAGGATTAGAAAATGTTCCTTTTTGTGCATTTTTAAATATTTTTTATACCAAATGTATATCAATATGTGCAATAATTAAATTAATAAAAATTGTTTTTATTAACCATACTTTCGTCATTCCGATTTTGAAATTTTCAAAAAAAAATTTCTTCCGCTTTTGCTGTGCAAAAAACGAGGCGTTCTATGTTTTTCCAAAAAGTTAACAATCACAACACTAATTTACTATAACACAGGGCCATAGAACACTTCTTTTTTCTGGGAGAGTTTGGTATGGAGTGTTCCCTCCGAACATAATCACGATAAATATTGTTGGTTCTACGATTTGAAACGCGCTAGGACTACCGGGAGGTCTGGGGAGTATGGAATACCCCCTAGGAAAAGCAGCTTTTATAGCTTCCCGGTGATGATCCCCACCTAAATACTTACGGTCGTCAATAAAATGTCACTAACATTCTCGAGGAAAAGCTATCGAAGTTTCTTATTCCTGGGGGGGTATTCCATACCCCCCAGTGAAGTATACTCCTCTCGAGATATTCACAGTACTTAATGCGTGTGATCATTTCTTAGGAAAAGCCATCGAAGCTCCTTTTCCTGGAAGAGTTTGGCATGGAAAAAACCCTCGAACGTGATCACGACAAATATTGATGGTTCTGTATGGTTTGAAACGAAAACGTATTACCGGGGGGTGTGGGGGGGTATGGAATACCCCCCAGGAAAATGAGATTTGATAGCCCCCGGGTGATAATCCCCATCAAAACACTTACGGTCGTCAATAAAATGTCACTAACATTCTCGAGGAACAGCTATCGAAGTTTCTTGTGCCTGGGGGGTATTCCATACCCCCCAGAGAAGTATACTCCCATCGAGATATTCACAGTACTTAGTGCGTGTGATCCTTTCTTAGGAAAAGCCATCGAAGCTCCTTTTCCTGGAAAAAACCCTCGAACGTGCTCAAGACAAATACTGATGGTTCTGTATGGTTTGAAACGAAAACGTACTACCAGGGGGTCTGGGGGGTATGGAATACCCCCCAGGAAAATGAGATTTGATAGCCCCCGGGTGATAATCCCCACCAAAACACTTACGGTCGTCAATGAAATGTCACTAACATTCTCGAGGAAAAGCTATCGAAGTTTCTTATGCCTGGGGGGTATTCCATACCCCCCAGACCCCCCGGGAAAGTATACGCCCCTCGAGATATTCTCAGTACTTAGCACGTGTGATCATTTCTTAGGAAAAGCCATCAAAGCTCCTTTTCCTGGGAGAGTTTGGTATGGAAAAAAGCTCTCGAATGTGATCACGACAAATATTGATGGTTCTGTATGGTTTGGAACAAAAACGTACTACCGGGGGTCTGGGGGGTATGGAATACCCCCCATGAAAATGAGATTTGATAGCTCCCAAGTGATAATCCCCACCAAAACACTTACGGTCGTCAATAAAATATCACTAACATTCTCGAGGAAAAACTATCGAAGTTTCTTATGCCTAGGGGGTATTCCATACCCCCCAGACCCCCCGGGAAAGTATACGCCCCTCGAGATATTCTCAGTACTTAGCATGTGTGATCATTTCTTAGGAAAAGCCGTCGAAGCTCCTTTTCCTGGAAGAGTTTGGCATGGAAAAAACCCTCGAACGTGATCACGACAAATATTGATGGTTCTGTATGGTTTGAAACGAAAACGTATTACCGGGGGGTGTGGGGGGGTATGGAATACCCCCCAGGAAAATGAGATTTGATAGCCCCCGGGCGATAATCCCCATCAAAACACTTACGGTCGTCAATAAAATATCACTAACATTCTCGAGGAAAAACTATCGAAGTTTCTTATGCCTAGGGGGTATTCCATACCCCCCAGACCCCCCGGGAAAGTATACGCCCCTCGAGATATTCTCAGTACTTAGCATGTGTGATCATTTCTTAGGAAAAGCCGTCGAAGCTCCTTTTCCTGGAAGAGTTTGGCATGGAAAAAACCCTCGAACGTGATCACGACAAATATTGATGGTTCTGTATGGTTTGAAACGAAAACGTATTACCGGGGGGTGTGGGGGGGTATGGAATACCCCCCAGGAAAATGAGATTTGATAGCCCCCGGGCGATAATCCCCATCAAAACACTTACGGTCGTCAATAAAATGTCACTAACATTCTCGAGGAACAGCTATCGAAGTTTCTTGTGCCTGGGGGGTATTCCATACCCCCCAGAGAAGTATACTCCCATCGAGATATTCACAGTACTTAGTGCGTGTGATCCTTTCTTAGGAAAAGCCATCGAAGCTCCTTTTCCTGGAAAAAACCCTCGAACGTGCTCAAGACAAATACTGATGGTTCTGTATGGTTTGAAACGAAAACGTACTACCAGGGGGTCTGGGGGGTATGGAATACCCCCCAGGAAAATGAGATTTGATAGCCCCCGGGTGATAATCCCCACCAAAACACTTACGGTCGTCAATGAAATGTCACTAACATTCTCGAGGAAAAGCTATCGAAGTTTCTTATGCCTGGGGGGTATTCCATACCCCCCAGACCCCCCGGGAAAGTATACGCCCCTCGAGATATTCTCAGTACTTAGCACGTGTGATCATTTCTTAGGAAAAGCCATCAAAGCTCCTTTTCCTGGGAGAGTTTGGTATGGAAAAAAGCTCTCGAATGTGATCACGACAAATATTGATGGTTCTGTATGGTTTGGAACAAAAACGTACTACCGGGGGTCTGGGGGGTATGGAATACCCCCCATGAAAATGAGATTTGATAGCTCCCAAGTGATAATCCCCACCAAAACACTTACGGTCGTCAATAAAAATACCCCCCATGAAAATGAGATTTGATAGCTCCCAAGTGATAATCCCCACCAAAACACTTACGGTCGTCACACTAACATTCTCGAGGAAAAACTATCGAAGTTTCTTATGCCTGGGGGGTATTCCATACCCCCCAGACCCCCCGGGAAAGTATACGCCCCTCGAGATATACTCAGTACTTAGCACGTGTGATCATTTCTTAGGAAAAGCCATCAAAGCTCCTTTTCCTGGGAGAGTTTGGTATGGAAAAAAGCTCTCGAATGTGATCACGACAAATATTGATGGTTCTGTATGGTTTGAAACGAAAACGTACTACCGGGGGGTCTGGGGGGGTATGGAATACCCCCCGGGAAAATGAGATTTGATAGCTCCCAGGTGATAATCCCCATCAAAACACTTACGGTGGTCAATAAAATGTCACTAACATTCTCGAGGAAAAGCTATCGAAGTTTCTTATGCCTGGGAGGTATTCCATACCCCCCAGACCCCCCGGTGAAGTATACTCCCCTCGAGATATTCACAGTACTTAGTACGTGTGATCATTTTTAGGAAAAACCATCGAAGCTCCTATTCCGGGGGGAATTTAGTATGAAATGCTCCCCCGATATATTGATGGTTATCCGGGAAAGGGAGCGTTGATAGCGGTGATCCTGCTCATTCCAACAGTACTTCCCGGGGGAGAGTCATAAAAGTTTTTGTTGGCGCGGGAAGGGGGAGGGGATTAATGATAATTGCCTAAGGGGTGTCATTGAATACTTCTTTACTTTACTTTAAGAGCTACTGAAGGCTATAGAATACTACCTCTTTTTTAGGTAGAATTCCATGCCCCAACTACAAATCCAATTTTTCTGTTTTAATTCAATTCATAAAACAGCACCTTCGGCTAAAATTTTGAGGATGGGAACGTAGCAATACCCCCCACGAGGAAATGTAACCAATTTTGAACGTACAGACGGACGGTGACCGCATCATACTCTCTTCTAGCGGTTCTCCAAATTACAAAGAACAATCGCTTAATAAAATTGTTTAAGTAACAATTAAACACAATACGGCAATCTCACCTTTTCTTTATCCTCGCATTAAACTCCCCATTGTCGCGCTTCTTTCGGGAGTCCGCTGTGCTGTATGTGGTAGGTAATTCTTACAATTCAAAAGTGTGAAACCGCTAAAAATTTATTGTTGGAAATTGAACAATCGACCGCCCCGCTGGGTACGAAATTGCGATGTTGACAAGAGGCGCCCGATCTTTAAATTAAAATATTCCCCATATACGCTCTAATCGTAATTACGAAATATCTTAATTAAGTTATACCACTGAGATAATTATTAATTTCTTTATAACTTAATTTCGGTGTAGCGAAATTTGTGTGTGTGTGAAAAGGCGCGATTGGAATTAATCTATCGCCAACAGTTACGATTTAATTCTCTTTTTTTTACCAGGTGAAAATCCACTCGCTTTTTTTCGCCTTTTTCTAATTAGAAAAGATCCTGATTGCAGTTGCCGTTAGACGAACAAATGCACTATTCGTTCATTAAACGTCATTACATCTCATTAAACACTTACACAGAAATAAACCGCTTGCTTTAGGTACGAAGAATCCTTTTCACAGATAATTTTATAATTAACCTTTCGTTCTTTGCGTCAAAGAAAAAATTGTAACAATGTAGGTAAATGTTACCTTTTTATACGAGGACGGCGAAAAGGTTTTAATCCCATCTAATCCTTATATAACCTCGTTTGATTAATTATACCTTACCGACTCTTCGAAATTGTCTTCAATCCGTGGCCGTTCCTATTGAAATGTCCGTCCAAATTTCTGTTTCCAACTCTTCCCAAAATGCCTACAGGCACGGGGATGTTTTTCCAACTTTCTTATCGTACTTGCGGATTGGCCTGTTTACTTCCCAGCAACGATTAGGTGACCGATTGCCACACAAACGACAAGATAACTTCAAAACTAAAGCAGTTCACTGGCGAGATTAGAACTAATTGTACACGCTAATTTCAATTATCACTAGGAAGTTCGTTAATCACGCGGAAGGCACCGCATTTTTAAAAACGAACACGAGAGCGGTTAATGGCAAACGTTGTCCAACATGAGGCACCTGTGGATCGTGGTCGTCTTAGTGGTACTTGCAGTTCTTTCCGGATGTTCAGGTAAGTTCGTGATTAATTCACTGGTGAGTTCTGTTCAAAAACTATTCTTTTAGAGGGTCTCAATAAAAACCAGGAGAATGCGTTGCGTGCGGCGAAAAAATATCTGGTAAGTTCACGCTGAAGTTAAAAAATTGCTAATTTGGGCACTTTAGGAGATGAGCCGAAAGAAGTCCATGATGAATTAGCTGCACTTTTTTATGAAGTTTAAATCGGAATGCTACAATTACATATTTGAAACAGTAAAATTGCATTATAACTTTGGAAAATACACAACAGGGGGTCTCGGACAAAAAAACTTCGATGGTTCTTCCTCGAGAATGGTGATGACAATTAATGTGGACCGTGATTGTTTGGGAGGGGATGATCACCTAGAAACTATCAATTCTCCTTTTACTGGAGCGTATTCCATACCCCCTCCCACCCCAGGTACTGCTTTCTCGTTTCAAAACGTAAACGGGTGAACATTCCATACCAAACTCTCACAGGAAAAGGAGCTTCGAAGGTGTTTCCCAAAAAAATGATCACACGTGCTGAATACCGTGAACATCTTTAGGGTAGTATACATCACCTGGGGGTCTGGAATACCCCCTAGGCAAAAGAAACTTCGATGACTCTTCCTCGAGAATGATGACTAGTATTGAGGACCTTAAGTGTTTGAATGGGGACAATCACCGGGGAGTTATCTAAGTTCCATCTCCTGGGGGGTATTCCATACCCCCCAGACCCCCCGGTAGTACGTTCTCGTTTCAAATTATACAGAACCATGAATATTTGCCGTGATCCCTTTCGAGGGACCATTCCATACCAAACTCTCCCAGGAAAAGGAGCTTCGAAGGTGTTTCCCCAAAAAAATGATCACACGTGCTGAATACCATGAACATCTTTAGGGTAGTATACATCACCGGGGGGTCTGGGGGGTATGGAATACCCCCCAGGTAAAAGAAACTTCGATGACTCTTCCTCGAGAATGATAATCACACGTCTTGAGGACCTGAAGTGTTTGAATGGGGACAATCACCGGGGAGTTATCTAAGTTCCATCGCCTGGGGGGTATTCCATACCCCCCACACCCCCCGGTAGTACGTTCTCGTTTCAAATTATACAGAACCATGAATATTTGCCGTGATCCCTTTCGAGGGACCATTCCATACCAAACTCTCCCAGGAAAAGGAGCTTCGAAGGTGTTTCCCCAAAAAAATGATCACACGTGCTGAATACCATGAACATCTTTAGGGTAGTATACATCACCGGGGGGTCTGGGGGGTATGGAATACCCCCCAGGTAAAAGAAACTTCGATGACTCTTCCTCGAGAATGATAATCACACGTCTTGAGGACCTGAAGTGTTTGAATGGGGACAATCACCGGGGAGTTATCTAAGTTCCATCTCCTGGGGGGGTATTCCATACCCCCCAGACCCCCCGGTAGTACGTTCTCGTTTCAAATTATACAGAACCATGAATATTTGCCGTGATCCCTTTCGAGGGACCATTCCATACCAAACTCCCCAGGAAAGGAGCTCCCCAAAAAAATGGATCACAAGGGGTAGCTTCTGATGGAGGTAAAAGTTCGATCCTCCAGATGATAATCACACGTCTTGACCTCAATCACCGGGGAGTGTTCTGATTCCATACCGTACGAACATCCGTGATTTTCGAGGGTTCCATACCAAACTCTCCCAGGAAAAGGAGCTTCGAAGGTGTTTCCCCAAAAAAATGATCACACGTGCTGAATACCATGAACATCTTTAGGGTAGTATACATCACCTGGGGGTCTGGAATACCCCCTAGGCAAAAGAAACTTCGATGACTCTTCCTCGAGAATGATGACTAGTATTGAGGACCTTAAGTGTTTGAATGGGGACAATCACCGGGGAGTTATCTAAGTTCCATCTCCTGGGGGGTATTCCATACCCCCCAGACCCCCCGGTAGTACGTTCTCGTTTCAAATTATACAGAACCATGAATATTTGCCGTGATCCCTTTCGAGGGACCATTCCATACCAAACTCTCCCAGGAAAAGGAGCTTCGAAGGTGTTTCCCCAAAAAAATGATCACACGTGCTGAATACCGTGAACATCTTTAGGGTAGTATACATCACCTGGGGGTCTGGAATACCCCCTAGGCAAAAGAAACTTCGATGACTCTTCCTCGAGAATGATGACTAGTATTGAGGACCTTAAGTGTTTGAATGGGGACAATCACCGGGGAGTTATCTAAGTTCCATCTCCTGGGGGGTATTCCATACCCCCCAGACCCCCCGGTAGTACGTTCTCGTTTCAAATTATACAGAACCATGAATATTTGCCGTGATCCCTTTCGAGGGACCATTCCATACCAAACTCCCCAGGAAAAGGAGCTTCGAAGGTGTTTCCCAAAAAAATGATCACACGTGCTGAATACCGTGAACATCTTTAGGGTAGTATACATCACCTGGGGGTCTGGAATACCCCCTAGGCAAAAGAAACTTCGATGACTCTTCCTCGAGAATGATGACTAGTATTGAGGACCTTAAGTGTTTGTTGGGTCGGGATAATTACTGGGGAGTTATCAAAGGAATCAAAGGAATTTTCCATACCGAAAGGAAAACTCGACTGTCCTACTCCGAAAATTATCATGCAGACTCTAAATGCTTAGTTCGGAAACGTACTACCGGGGGATCTGTGGGGAAAAAGTTAGTTTCGATTTTCGTTTTCCGATGGTTTTGGGCGAGAGGGCAGCACCGAGGGTTCTGGGGAAATTGAGTACCTACCTCTCTACGAAAAAAAATGTTAATGGTCCCACGGTGCTGAGAGTTCTAAGCTTTTGGGAGGAAAACGTGGCTCTCGAGGGAGGACTATCGACAGTTGCCAGTTTGGTCCCCTAGCTATTTTGTGCGGGTTTAGTTTTGAAAACAAACATTTTCGTGACTTCACGATGGACGCCGTCTTCGACGTATATGCAGCTGAATCCTGCAACTTATAACTTAAAGTCAAACGTTAGTGCGACCTTCACTCCACACTTGAAGATGGCAAAAATGCAAGAAGAAAGGAAGGCCGAACGCGTGAAGAAGTGAAAGAAATTCCAAAGTCCAGTTTCTGCCTTTTTTGAAAAGAAGAAGGCCCGTTAGGATTTATCGTGTCGGTTTTAATTGGCATTTAATTTTCGCACCGAAACAAGTTCATCGACGAGTGCCATTCATAAAAAAAGCCGAAAGGGAAAGAGTAAACAATGGCACGACGTTTAAATTGAAAGTATTTACAAGAGGTAATTATTAGCCGGCCGTAAAATTTATACCCTGGTAGGCGTTGGTGTATAAATTAGATACGTAAATACCCCAGTAAAGTTTTACGAAAGCCTTCGAGTTCTAACAGTGCTCGCTGCCCACGCCTCGTGCGTTTGGTATTTCGTAAAAATATCGCTAACGCAAATTAATCAATTAGCGGACCGAACACCCCGATCAAGCGGAGAAAGTAGGCGCGTGTGCGAAAGAGGCCTTCTGGTTTAACCGCGCGAAACGGAGTGCGCGCGTGCAACTGTAGTTTTTCACTTGGAAAAATCCTCCAGCGCCGAAGGCGAAACGTCCTCCAACACCTCAAATGTTAGTTTACTTTTTAAATGTCTGTCATAAAACCATCAATAAAGATGTAATTGTGGTATTTTACAGACTGATTTAGAGTTTCGGATCTGTCGAGATCAGCTAACGCCATAAAGATAATTAAAAGCAAATGTTTACTTTAATTGATTTACAAGTACACGCGCCCGTTTAGACGCCAGCAAATTCCTCCCTAGCAACCAACGAAGACGACGCCCACCGCGAAGGTAAGAATATGTTCTAAAACCCCTGATAAATCCGTTCAAAATAACTTAGAAATCTATAAAATATTGGTATAAGATGCGGGGAGGGGGTCGTAGGTCCTAGACCCTGCGAGACCACATTCTATTTCATACATTTTCCTAGGAGGTGTTCCAGACCCCCCGACGCTACGTTCACTCCTAGAACGTTTTCAATCCTCCGCGGCCCAACGATTCAAGAAAAGACATCAATTCATCCCCTGGATAGGTATGGACTACCACCCAGGAAAAAACGAACAAATTGATGCCTCTTTGTGTGATATTTGGGTATGGCATCCGTTTCTTCATTTACAGCGGGGTTTTGCACACTCACTAGCTTCCAGGTGCGCCTTTCGCCCTCAGAACGTTTAAGCTTTCCTCACAATTGTTTTCTTTCATGAAAAGCCATCAACTGTTTTTTTGGGGTTCTTCCATACCTCACCCCACCCCCACCCCGTCCGCTACGGTACCTGGGGTAAAGTATACCCCCCGGTAGTACGTTCCCCCAGACAAGGTAAGATTGAAGGGTCTGGACCCAGGAATGGGTGCAATTCTTGGAAGATGATTATTAGAACGCGGAGGACTTAACATTCTGATGAGGATGTAGCGCAGGGCGCTATGGGATGTAGGGGAGATCCCCAGGAATGAAGAAAGTTGAGTTGTTGAAAGATTTGATTCCTGGGGGGCATTTGATTCCTAGAGGCATAGACTCTACGGCGCCACATTCTACTTCATACAATTTTCTGGGAGGTGTTCCAGACCCCCCCCCCCCCGTTTACAGTCAACTCACCCCTTCTTAATAGGTATGGAATAACATTCAGGAAAAAAAATGAAGGAGCTAGAAGAAGAATTAGAACGTAGGGGTCTTAAACGTTGTAATTCTATACCATAGACGTTGCGTAGGGCGGGGGGGGGGGGGGGGCAAGAAACATGTATGTCTTTTCTTAAAAAAAACGAGTAGAACCTCGAGTAGAACTTGTATGTTCTGGGGGTGAAGAGCGCACCGGGAGGTTTGTGGGAAATCCAGGAAATGTTCAAGAAACGGTTGCATCTTTTTGAAAGCTAATAATTAGAGATCAAACGCCTTCAACGTTGTGAGGGAACGTAGAACCGGGGGTTTGGAGCGGGAGTGCCCCCTTTAGCGCAGACTCCGTAGCACAGGAGGGTTTGGGGAGTATGGTATACTCATCCCCACCCACACACGCCAAATGAAGAAATTGATGCTGGGAGGTGTGCAAAACTCCCAGAAAAAATTGATGTCTTCTCGTGAAAGAGAAGCGAGAAGAGCTTAAACGTTTTGGAGGTGAGAAACGCACCGGGCGGTCTGGGGGGTATGGAATACCCCCCAGGAAGTGAAGAAACTGATGCCTCTTTTTGAATGCTAATAATTATAACCCAGAGTTCGTAAAC